CAGACCATTCTCACATTGCAAATTCAACCCAGCATTTGGTTTATCCTCCTTCGGCTCGTCTGCAAGTGTAGACTCTACAGACCCGCTAACAGAGGCAATTGGACCATCAGAACCAACTGCTTCATCGCACGTTCGCTGTGCTGTCGAAACCACCGAGGACGTGAGCTCGAACCCTGAGTTGGTTAAAGGGGGGAGACGTGGACCCAGAGGAGGGTGTTTTCTGGGTCGTCCCCTGCCTCGCTTTACAGGAAAGGAGTCCTGCTGTCTGCTTTCCACTAGGAGAGAGGGAATTGGTGGATATGAGCTCGGGTTTGTGAGGGACTCCATCTCAACAATACATTAGAAAATAAACAAAATCATATCTTTGCATGCTGGCCAAATGCTCAAAGATCTTTGGTTGAATTTGGAAGATTAATGAAATGTGCAGTTGCTGCTGCTACCAAAGGAAATACCAATTGTGTGTGTGTGTGTGTGTGTGTGTGTGTGTGTGTGTGTGTGTGTGTGTGTGTGTGTGTGTGTGTGTGTGTGTGTGTGTGTGTGTGTGTGTGTGTGTGTGTGTGAGAATATTTGCTTGCGTGCATCTGGGCATGTGTCCATTTGTGCAAAGTGCAAGGGTGCAAAGGTGCAAGTGCGTAAATGTTCATGGCTGTGTAACTATGCTTCTGTCAGTGTGTGTGAGTGTTTCTGCATGCTTTTCTGCACATGCTTTTGTACATATGCATATGTCTCTGTGTGATTGTGTTTCTGCATGTTATTTTCTGTGAGTGTGTTTCTGCATGTCTTTCTGTGTTTGAATGTGTGTTTGTGTGTATGTGTCAATAAGTCTTTGCAAATGTCTTCCTACCTGTGTGTTCCTGCTTGTGTTTCTGCGCATGCTTTTCGCTGTGTGTGTGTGTGTCTCTGTTTCTACACACTCAGGTGGATGTATCACCCCCCTCATATTACTTACCCTGATCAGAATCATCCTCAGGTGTCTTATCATCTAAGCCATATTCAGACAACTGCCTGTAGTCTACTTTCTTTGTCTGTCTCCTTCCTGAGGTATAACAAATCAAAAATTAGTCTCCTTGAATCAACATATTAACAAATACATAAATAAAACATATATTCATATATGTATAAAAGAGACAGAAACAGAAACTCTGAGAGAGAGAGAGAGAGAGAGAGAGAGAGAGAGAGAGAGAGAGAGAGAGAGAGAGAGAGAGAGAGAGAGAGAGAGAGAGAGAGAGAGAGAGAGAGAGAGAGAGCGAGAGAGAGAGAGAGAGAGAGAGAGAGAGAGACAGAGAGAGAGACAGAGAGAGAGACAAAGAGAGAGACAAAGAGAGAGACAAAGAGAGAGACAAAGAGAGAGACAAAGAGAGAGACAAAGAGAGAGACAGAGACAGAGACAGGGAGACAGAAAGAGAGAAACAGAAAGAGAAACAGAAAGAGAGAGACAGAAAGAGAGAGAGCATGAAACATGGTGTGAAAGAAATAGGTAACGTGAGTAAAAGAGAGTGTGAAAGAAAGTGAGAATAAGAGTGGGAGCTTGACGACAAGGAAACCAACGGCAGTACACACTACCTGGCAAAATAACAACTTCAGACGACGTTCTCTCTTTCCTCTTGCCCGTTTTCTTGGACTCGTCGGCCATCTGTGCTCTCTTCCCATTTACTGCCTTTGCGGTCATTTCCTTTCCTTCCATTTTGTCTTTTTCCCCAGAACCCTGTTCTCCTTGGGGTGTGTCTGCGTCATTCTCTCTGACCGGTTCATTTTTGACAATCTGTGTTTGGGGTAGAAGTGCATGGGATTTGTTAATATATTGCCAATGTGAGTGAATATTTCCCAGAATATAGATGCTGAATATAGATGCTGTAAATGTTTAGAATTTTTCCCACAGTATCTTTCAATATGAGCCTTTTTTTCCTGTGTGTGTGTATGTATGTGTATGAGTATGTATGTGTGTGTGTGTGTGTGTGTGTGTGTGTGTGTGTGTGTGTGTGTGTGTGTGTGTGTGTGTGTGTGTGTGTGTGTGTGTGTGTGTGTGTGTGTGTGTGTGCGTGCGCGCACATGCATATATGTGTTGTCCTTTGCTACCAACAGGCACAGAGGCCTTATGAATCAGTGCAAAGCCAGGAATAGACAGATAGGTGTCTTCTATTTACCCTATGTATATAGGATGTATACATATATAATACTTGGTTACAAATTAATAATTACCTTCTCTGAGAGTCTTTTAAGAGCTTGAAGTCGCACACCATCTGGGAGATTGTCCAGTTTCCGTAGGAGTTCATCTACCTGAAAAATCAAGACCAGATTTTAGTTTTTTTTTCCTCTTCATATATTTCATATTCATACATTTCTGTTTGTATTTATTTGAAAACGTAAACCAAAATATGAATGATTCAATTAGTTTAGCTTTTCTGAATCTTATATATTTGTGTTTATTTGAAAACGTAAACCAAAATATAAATAATTCAATTCGTTTAGCTTTTCTGAAAGCTGTATATTCAGTTAATAATTTAAATGTCTTCCAATGTCCCTTAATCACACATCCATCTTTTCCCTCCTCACTCTATCTTTTCTCAAATATTTCTAAATGAAACTAAGGGTGTCATTTCAGCTTTTTCTTGCAGTGGGTGGGTGGGGGGAGGCAATACTGTAGTTTCTGAGGCACTACAAGAACACTTTCATACCTTCACCCAGAGATATGAAGGTGTAGTTAAGGCAAAAATATTATGGGGTGTGTGGCTTTAAGAGGGGGGGGGGGTGACAATCCAGACTTTGGGGGGTACAGTACAAGTGATGCTCCTGAATTAAACCAACAAATGAGTGTGGCATATTTATTTATCATATGCACAAATACAAATATATATATATATATATATATATATATATATATATATATATATATATATATATATATATATATATATATATATATATATATATATGTATAAAGTATATATATATATATATATATATATATATATATATATATATATATATATATATATATATATATATATATATATATATAGTATATATATATATATATATATATATATATATATTATGTATATAGTATATATATATATATATATATATATATATATATATATATATATATATATATATATATATATATATATATATATATATAATTTATCTGTCCATCTATCTATATATACATATATACATGTATATGTATATGAATGTAAAAGTATATAAATTTATGAATATAGAAATATGAAAATATAAATATATATATTATATATATATATGTATATTATATATATTATATAATATATATGTATGAGTATATATATATTATATATGTATATATATATATATATATATATATATATATATATATATATATATATATATTATATATCATATATATATTATATAATGTATATATATAAATATATATGAATATAGAAATACATATTTGTATATATATATATATATATATATATATATATATATATATATATATATATATATATATATATATACATATATATATTATATATATATATATATTATATATTATATATATATATTATATAATGTATATATATAAATATATATGAATATATAAATATATATGAATATATATGTACATGTATATATATATATATATATATATATATATATATATATATATATATATATATATATATATATATATATATATATATATATATATATATGAATATATATGTACATGTATATATATATGTACATGTATATATATATATATATATATATATATATATATATATATATATATATATATATATATATATATATATATATATATATATACTATATATATACTATATATATACTATATATATACTATATATATACTATATATATACTATATATATACTATATATACTATATATATATATATATAAATATATATATATACATATATATATATATATATATATATATACTATATATATATACTATATATATATACTATATATATACTATATATATACTATATATATACTATATATATACATATATAAATATGTAATATATATATAATATATATATATATATATATATATATACATATATATATATATATATATATATATATATATATATATATATATACATGTGTACATGTGTATGTGTGTACATGTCTGTGTACATGTGTACCTGTTTACAAGTATATATATGTGTGTGTGTGTGTGTGTGTGTGTGTGTGTGTGTGTGTGTGTGTGTGTGTGTGTGTGTGTGTGTGTGTGTGTGTGTGTGTGTGTGTGTGTGTGTGTGTGTGTGTGTGTGTGTGTGTGTGTGTGTGTGTGTGTGTGTGTGTGTGTGTGTTGTTTTAACGGAGTGACGACCTTGGTCCAATCCCCATACTTTTATTCAAGATATCTGCCCGAAATAGGCCTATTCCTGGCTATTTCAGCAATATCTCCTTTTCATTCTCTCATCTAAAAATAATCCACAGATTTTTAACAAGTATCACCTCCTAAACTTCATGCATTCATTCAACATTTCTGGAGAGCAGGCGAAGTAGGACTTTACTCGAGGAAGTCAGATGCAATAATAACTTGAAGAGAAAACAGACATGAAAGCAACCAAGGACAAATCTCCATCTATTCTTTTTTTTTTTGTTGCGTGTTCTACGATTTAGATAACTTTTAAATTCAATTAACAAGGGTTATAATTATATATTCTCACCTCGTTCATTATATCGCTGGACTCTCCTTCCATTTTGCTATAATAGGAATGGGAATATTTGTGGATGAAAAGCTAGACGTGCAAATGGCTGCGGAAGGAGAGTGGACAACTAATTTGCCGATAATTATTTTCCACAATCGGTTATATTCACTTATCAAAATAGTTTCATTTTTATAATATAAGCTGATTTTGATTAGTACTTATATAATTAAAATATAATAAAAATCATGTTTGTAAGTTTTATTAATATTTGTATTTTATCGGCCTTTAAATCTGCTTTTAGAATGAAAATCGTAAACATTGAGGGAAATTGTAAACGCCCAAGTTCAAAACGTCAGAAGTTGGCTGTTTAGTATTTGCTGTCAGATTTTCTTTTCCTCTGTATAAATTCATGAAAGTTCACCTTCTTGGATAACTTAGTTAGTAGAGCAATTATAGACAGTAATTTTAAAGATCTGAATGACTGCCATATCTTACTAGCTTATTCTGTTGGTGACTTTTGTTTGGCAGATAACTTTTTTTTCTTTTCGAAATTACTTATATAAAGCTTGTATAGTCTAGGTTTGGGTTGTCTGATGCTTTTGCGTCAAGTAACTATGTAATTTTTTGTTTTTGAAGGATGTACATTGGGGATAAGTTTCTTAGATTTATTTGCTCTATCGTTTGCATATATTAGTAATTCTTTGCAGTACAAATTAATTTGCCAGAGATTAAGTCTCCAACTCCTCATCAGAAAATTAATAAAACAATCAAAGTAGCCGTGACTGGGTGTGCCCTTCAGGCACTGCCCAATTCACCCGGGGAAACATTGCCTTCACCTCGGTATACGTGGCAAGATAGAGCTGAAACTTGGGAGCACCAAGTTGACTTTCCGTAATCTTTTTATTTGATTTGTGGCATTACCATTTGTGTAATCCAATTTTTATTTGTAAAAGATCTTTTATTAATGTTTAATCAGAATGTGTGATTATTTGAGATTATTTTAGGTGTGTTAAGAAAAATAGTTTTCAGACACATTTTTTCCCCTTGAATTTTTTTTATTTGTTTCTTATTTCAGTATGTATCATGTCACTTGCTTTCTTATTTCTAATTCTAGTTCCAGATGATATCATCATGCGAGGTCAGGTAGTTTTGGACGAAGTGTCTGGCGATATCTGGCCAGATACTTTTAACTTGCAGGCCCTCAAGTCGGCAACAAAACTATCGTGAGTATATTCTTCCTCGTGTGAACAGTTTCCTAATTTTTCCCTTTATTAAGTGGGAAAGGACGGCAGGATTTCCACTTGTGATGTGCATTTCAATTTCTTAATATTAACAAAGGAAGTATCAGTTCTTTATTTTTATATCATGCATATGACGCTCTTCATTTTGAGAATCGCCATAACCTAATTGGACTTGCCACATAGGGGAATATTTTGAAATTACTCATTACCTAAATCCTAATCTCAGAAGTTTCAGTTTATGATAGGAAATTTAGATTTAAAAGAAATAAAGAAATGACAAGAGTGAGTGTCTTACTGTAATTCAGATAATATGATGTAAAAGAATTATTAGATTTTACATCAGGAGTTCTCTTTTTTTTCTTCAAAAATTTGTTAATGTTGCTAGACTAGGTTGTGATGTAATTGAAGCAGATCTGTGAATTTTGAAGAATTTTAAAGAATTCTAATAGGAAAATGAAAAAAAAGCTATCATGTAGTCTTTCTTTAAGTACGATAAATGTCCACCTTTAACTTTCTCTAAAATATTAGAAGGAAGAGAAATTTAATTAAGTGTCAAATTCGAAAATATTTTAAAAATCAGTTTGATATTAATTTTCCTCCTAATCTGCTGAACTAGAGATAAAATATTCCCTTATTTTACAGATGTTTGTTAGAGGTGATTGGCACCGGGGGAATCCAGCCTTCAGCCCTGAGCAGCAACTCCAAATTCCTGGCCGTGGTGACCCAAGGGGAAGACGGCTCAAACAGGCTCTTCATTATTCATCTTGAGGAGAAAAGGTGACCAGTTATTTTTTTATTCATTTATTTATTTAATTACATATTTGTTAATTTATCAGATTTTTTAAAAACTGATAATATGATTATGAATTTTCTTCTTGATTTTTTTTTTCCCCTTTTGTTTGCTTATGTGTTTTTCATTCATGTCCTTTAAAGGTCACTCAATGAGACTGTAGGTATCTGTATTATAATTATTATTGATTATAATTATTATTAATATATTATTATTGTTATTGATTATGATGATTATTGTTATTGTTTGTTGTTATTATTATTGTTATTAGATTTATTAGTTCTATTATTGTTATTGTTACTGATTTTAAGATGCAGATGAATAAGATTTGACAGACAAGAATATAAAACATAAATGATCTTTCAGTGATACTTTTTCTTCTCCTTCTTTCTCTTTTGAGGCAGAACATATATCTATCAGCATATTCAAATATTCATTTACATCTATATGTATGTATTCATATTTGTGTGTATTTATGTAAAATGGTTAATTTTGATTAAATGATTTGATTTGACTTTTTAATGGATATGATTTATAAGATTATGAATACCAGCAATAGGAAACACAATTAAGCATCACGTTTTGATATCATCTAATGCAAAAAAGATCATATGTATATGCATTTCCTTTCCATTCTCACAGGTTTTACCTACTGAAGAGGATGGCAAAACCTTGTACTGCCTTGATATTTCATCCATATATGGAAAACATGCTTTTTCTTGCTACTGCTGCAACTAAGATTTATAGAATTAATGCTGGTAAGTTCTTTATTTAGTGTTCATGATTTCCAAATATGTATTTTTGGTCATGTCATAAATATGTTTACTTTTTACACAGTTCTCTTCTTTAAGCAACTTGAGCAAGGCTTATGGCTCTCTTTCTTTCTTACTTTTTTCCCAACCCCATAATTAGATTACTCCTCTATCCCTCTTCATTCTTCCTCATACACATTTTTTTTTTCTTCCTCCCACCTCTCCCACCTCCTCTCTTTTTATCTACCTGTCTTCTCTCATCTTCTTCTCCCCTATTGATCCCCCACTTGCAAATTGGCAATAAAATCTCATAATCTTATCTCTATCCCTCCCCCCAACCTCCTCACCTGCATTTTTCATCCCTCTTTCCTCCCATTTCTCCCCCTTTCCCCTTCTCTCCCTCTTACTCTTACTCTCTCACACAGATGACGGCAGTGTGGTGATCATGGAGGGACACACATCACCTGTAAAGGGCATTCACTCAGGTTCTCGGTCGCCACTTGTGCTGAGCTACAACACTGACGAGGTCTTCTTGTGGTCGTGGCCATCCCTCACCCTTACCAACAAGCTGCGGCTGGAAGACAGGGTGGCTGTGGTCTGGGTAGGGTGCTTAGGGTTACCAAGTTTTGAGACAGACAGACAGACAATGAAGGAAAGAGAGAGGGAGAGGGAAAATGAGAATGAGAGAGGGAGAGGGAGAATGAGAATGAGAAAGAGAGGGAGAGGGAAAATGAGAATGAGAGAAAATGAAAATGAGAGAGGGAGAGGGAAAAGGAGAAGGAGAAAGAGTGAGGGAGAATGAGAATGAGAAAGAGAGGGAGAGGGAAAATGAAAATGAGAGAGGGAGAGGGAGAAGGAGATCGTGAATGAGAGAGGAAGAGGGAGAAGGAGAGAGGGAGAGGGAAAAGGAGAAGGAGAAGAAGAAGGAGAGAGGGAGAAGGAGGAGGAGAAGGAGAGAGGGAGAGGGAGAAGGAGAACGAAGGAGGGAGAGGGAGAAGAAGAAGGAGAGAGGGAGAGGGAGAAGGAGAGAAAGAGAGGGAGAAGGAGAAGGAGAGAGAGAGAGAGGGAGAAGGAGAGAGAGAGTGGGAGAAGGAGAATGGTAGAGGGAGAGGGAGAAGGAGAGAGGGAGAGGGAGAAGGAGAAGGAGAGGGGGAGTAGGAGAAGGAGAGAGGGAGAGGGAAAAAGAGAAGCAGAAGGTGAGGGAGAGAGAGGGGGGAGGGGGGGGAGAGAGAGAGGGAGGAAGAGAGAGAGACAGAGAGAGAAAGAGAAGGAGGAAGGGTGAGTGAGAGAGAGAGAGGGGGGGGGAGAGGAAGGGAGAAGAAAAGGAAGAGGGAGAGAGAGAGAGAGAGGGAGGAGAGGAAGAAGAAGAGAAAGAGTAAGAGAGAGAGGGATGAAGGGGGGAGGAAGATAGAGAGAGAGAGAGAGAAGGAGGGAAAGAGGGAGGGTGGGTGGGTTTTGGGTGGGTGAGAGAGAGAGAGAGGGGAGAAGGAAAGGGAGAGGGAGGGAGAGAGAGAGGAGGGAGGAGAGGAAGAAGAAGAGAAAGAGTAAGAGAGAGGGGGGGAGGAAGAGAGAGAGAGAGAGAGAGAGAGAAGGAGGAAAAGAGATAGGGGGAGGAAGACAGAGAGAGAGAGAAAGAGAGAGAGGGAGAGGGAGGGAGGGAGGAACAGAGAGGAGAGGGAAAGGAAAGTGCGAGAGAGAGGGAGAGGGAGGGAGGGAGGAACAGAGAGAAGGAAAAGAAAGTGCGAGAGAGGGGGGGGTAGACTGACAGATAAAGAAGGAGAAAGAAAGGGAGAGGGAGAAAGACATGGGAGAAGAAATGAGACAGAGAGAGTGATTGAAGGAGAGAGAAAGAGAGAGAGAGAGACTTGTAAAAATGGCTTGTAAAAATGGTTCTGCCAGATACTGGAGTGTTTTAGAATTAGAATTATTGGAGAGAGAGAGTGAGGGAGGGAGAGAGAGAGAGAGAGAGAGAGAGAGAGAGAGAGAGAGAGAGAGAGAGAGAGAGAGAGAGAGAGGAGAGAGAGAGGGAGAGAGGGAGAGGGAGAGAGAGAGAGGGAGAGAGAGAGAGAGAGAGAGATAAAGAGAGAGAGAGAGATAAAGAGGGAGATAGAGAGAGAGAGATAGAGAGGGAGAGAGAGAGATAGAGAGGGAGAGAGAGAGAGAGAGAGAGAGATAGAGAGGGAGAGAGAGAGAGATAGAGAGGGAGAGAGAGAGAGAGAGAGAGATAGAGAGAGGGAGAGAGATAGAGTGGGAGAGAGAGAGAGAGAGATAGAGAGAGAGAGGGAGGGAGGGGGAGGGAGAAGGAGAGAGGGGGGAGACAGACAGATAGACAAAGAAGGAGAAAGAGAGAGAGAGAGAGAGACAGAGAGGGATAAGGAAAGACAGAGAAGGAGAAGAAGAGAGAGAGGAGGGAGGGAGAAAAAAAGAGAGTGAGAATAGTAGAATATGCAATATTGGTAGCATATAATGGAAAAGAAAGAGAGAAAAAAGAAGATTATTATCCATATTTTCTATTTCCCATGTAGGCCGGGCATGTTTGGCAGCGGGATGAGCTGGTTGTGTGTTTCATTAACGGCAGCCTGCTTCTCTGGCCTAGCCAAGACCTCTCTACACAGAGAACCATAGAACCTCCAAGTGGACTCGATTTTGATTTTACTGCCTTTGCACTCTCAAGGTAAGGAACTGCCTGTTGGCTGAGTGAAAACGGTGGTATCAGTGTTTGTTTTATTGTTGTCTTTAATTTTATTGCTTTCTTGTTACTAGTTTTATGTACACATGATTTTTTGCAGAGTTAATTTCCTTTCTTCCATTTACATCTTCTGTCTTTTATTTTCCACATCTTGTGTGTCATTCCACTGCAATTGTGAGGTAATTTTAGACCACTGATTCAGTCAGTAATGAGATGCATTGTTGTGTTACTATTTCAAAGTGTAATTGTTAGATCTTTGTTATGTTCAACTGCTATATCCTACTTTATAACTGAGTAGATCATTCATCACAGTAACTGTTAAATCATTACAAAGTGAAATCATTTGTTCATATTTATTTGATAAACATATTTTGACATCTTTCTATTGCAAAATTGGATCACTCTTAGCAGAAAGAAGCATTTTACATTCAGCATAAACTGAACTTGTAGCTGTTTGCATAATGTCACATATAATGAAATGCTTCTTTGACAGATTGAATATTATTTGATATGGACAGGTATTCCGATAGTAATATAACATTATATTATTTATGTGATCATTTATACACAGGGTTTATAATTAATGTATGAGATGTGTATGACTTGTGTATTTTATAACTGTTTCGATAGACTACCTTTTTCTGGGTATTTCATTTTTACATTTCATATAATCACAGAGCCTATAAAAAGAAATGTATCAGACAGTTTATTTTATACACTTCATAGTAGTTATTTTATAAGTACCTGCAGTTAATGAGATTGCACATTCTTATAATGATAACAAAAATATTAGAATTAGTGTTTAGGAAGAGTAATATAGTAGTTTCAGAATCAACATTACAATTCTCTTACCAAAATAAGGAATGATTCAAAACCTTTTTTCACAGCCCTCATAATTAAGCTGGATTCTAATGTACAATCTTCATCCAACACACATTTGTATTACCTCCACATCAATACAAAGTTATACCTGTTAGCTTATGTCTTCATTTAATGTTAGTGTACATAGCATATATTGAGGAAAGCACATTACTTTCTGCTTACAGTAGTGTAATGAGTATAAGCTGCAGAGTTCAGAAAACAGTGTGTTTTATTTATTTATAAAATTGTTTGTCCCATCACTTTTAGACATAAGCAAAGTTCCTACAACTTCTGTATATATGTTTTTCCCCCACAGTCATTCATTAATTCCTCTATGTCAAGGTTTGTAAGGCCTCTTTGTAGATATTTAAGTTTCTATCCTATTATATTAACTTAGTGGCACCAGGTACTTGTACTGTTCACTGTGATTTTACTTAAAAAAAGAAAAAAAGAAAAAAAAATTTATATATATATATATATATATATAGATATATATATATATATATATATATATATATATATATATATATATATATATATATATATATGTATGTATGTATGTATGTATGTATGTGTGTAGTGTATGTATGTATGTATATATATATAGTATGTATATATGTATATATATATATATATATGTATGTATATATATATATATATATATATATATATATATATATATATATATATGTATGTATGTATATATATATAAATAATAATAAAAAAGAAAAAAAAATATATATATATATATGTGTGTGTGTGTGTATATATATATATATATATATATATATATATATATATATATATATATATATATATATATATATATATATATATATATATATATATATATATGGCTAGTCACCAAAGATTCATTTATCAGGTATACCTGACTTGCCTGCTTGATCCCAGAAATAGCATCAAGTAGGCCTAGTATTTGACACTGGCAAATAAGGGCTTGTAGAGCTATCTGTATATCAACAGAGTTGATTAACATAATCAGTGTGAATATTACATGTATATGTGGATTCCTGGCATCAACTGGTTACTATCTCCATGTTGAGTTAAGGATGTGCCCTACCTCTGCCACATATATTTACATAATTTGTTGGTTTTGTCCTGTTTACCTCTTGTAAATGCTTCCTGTTTGTTGGTAGATGTCGCTTTGATTCATTGTTGTACCATTTGAATTCTAATCATTGTCATCAGTTCGATTAGATCTAGACTAGTTCTTATGTACCTCTCATCTCCACAGACATGCAAAGATGAACTCCAATACTGATTATATTAGGAAGGGTTTCCTATTGTACATATGGAAACAATAGAGCTTAGACTCTGTACTAGATTTTTCTTTTATGCTCCTTATAAATGCATGATTTTGTACTTGTGAAACTCATTTTGTTTTCTCAGTCTTTTGTTTTGAATACCTGGCTGTAAAAAGGGGACAGCTTTTGCCTAGCCTTTAAGATTCTTAGTCATAATGTATTTTGAATATATTCATGTACTGTATATAAGTACCTTGAACTAAAACTATGTAACAGTAGCAGTAATAGAATAGATATTAATAATTTCTTGCAGTTGTGAGAGCAGATTCGTAAACCTTAAATACATCATTGTGTATATATATTTCTGCTTTAACTGACAACAATTATGCAAGCATATCCAGAGAAGGGACAAAGTGAAAATACATAAATAAATTTTAACCCCACCCCAAAAAAAGAAGAAAAAAAGTGAGAATGACCTATTGCCACACCATGCAATCAGAAAATATTTTTCACACTTGATGTGAAAAAAAATGCTTGTATAATGGAGGCTTTTGGTTTATAACTGTATATAACTATTCTGTGTAAACAATAGAAGACACAGTTATCTATTTTTTGCACTCAAAAACAGACAAACACACACATTCTTCATTGACCATCTTTTTATTGCACACACACAGTGGGGGGGAGTGGATCGTTGGAGGGGGGAAGAGCCACCTTATGGTCACCTACTCCCTGGTGGGCCGTCGGGTCTCGCAGGTCGTGCAGCTGCCCTCCTCATGCAACAGCGTCTACCAGGCCATCTTCCTGCCGCCCGTGCATCCCAGGTTTAGTCAAGTGAGGTGCCATTTAGCTTGCCTTTAAGAGGTTTTTGAGTTGAATGGGGTGGGGACTGGGGTTTCTTGGGAAAGGTTGGGAGAGAGGGGAAGGTGAGAGTGTGGAGATTGTCTATGGAATGTATATATGTGTGTGTTTGTGTGTGTGTGTGCGCATGTGCGCGCATGCATGCACATGCACATGCACAAGTGTGGGTATGGGTGTGAGGGTGGGTGTGGTTATTTGTGGGTGATTATACATTTGAGTTACCATAACAAAAGTGTTTACCTGAATTTTTTTTTTTTTTTTTTTTTTTTTTTATTATTATTATTATTATTATTATTATTATTATTATTATTATTATTATTATTATTATTATTATTATTATTATTATTATTATTATTACTATTGCAGGTGTTGGCCATTTTAAACACAACAGGAGTGCTTAACATCATTGACTTCACAAGCATGACAAAGCTCAAGACAGTTCGATCTCAGAGGTTCAATATTGGTAAGTGAACATTGGTGTTTTACCTTTATATTGAGGCTGATTATCTTATAATTGTGAATTACTGGATATTGGAAATTTGGATTTCAAAGTCATTCATGTTAATTTTCTATAAAGTATGCAAGAAAGCTATTATAACATATTATTTATGCCATCCACATAGGGAAAACTTAAAATTTATTGACCATCTTAATAAATTCTTAATATTGTCATGGTACACACATGCACACACATGCACACACAGTGTAGGTTGCTTGCAGCTACTCTGACCTCAAGAAGGTATTTGACTCAGTGCATCACAAATCACTGATTGGAGATCCTGAGACTTGGGGTACTTCTGACACAAATTATGGGATTAATAGCAAACGGAAAGTACTGTAAAGTGTGGTGGGGGCCTGTTGCAATTCTTCCCTGTAAACTCAGGAGTGAGGCAAGGATGTGTCCTTGCGCCAATACTTTTAAACATTTGCATGGACTGAACAATGGGCAGAGCTACTTTCCAAAGCCCTGTGGAGCAACACTGAGCAATATCAAGGTGACGGACCTTGACTTTGCTGACAATGTTGCTATCCTATCAGAGTATCTATAATCTATGGTTGTGGCTCAAAATGCATTCAGCAATGAGGCAAAGCCCTTGGGTCAAGAGGTCTAGACCAAGACCAAGATCCAGGATTTTGGGAGTCTGTTAGGCCAATCTGTTTAGTTGATACAAGCTTGCTGAGAGGATGTTGAAGTCACAGAGAACTTTACATACCTTGGTAGCACAGTCCATTTCTCTGGACTGTCAGACCAGGAAATCAGTAAACAGATTGGTCTGGCAGCAGTAGGTCTGAACTCTGTCAACAAAAGTATTTGGATATGCTGGTACCAGTGCAAGCTATAAGTCTTCAAGGCCTTTATACTGTCAGTTTTAATTTATGGAAGTGAAATGTGGATGCTATCTAGTGCCTTGAAGTTGCACAGTGAGGCTGGCAAAGGACCTGTTACTTGCATAATCTGGAACTGCCAACTCAGGCTATACCATCACCTAGCTCTTTTCCCTGTGGATGACCTTGCCCATAAGATTGTGTCTTCATAAAACAATCCTGGGTGGAGGAAGCCCATGGAATGACCTAGGAAGATTGACCAGACCTGTTGTGAAGAGCTAGAGATGGGCTCTGAGAGCCTCCCTGGCAGCTCACCATGAGGGACCCCCATGACTGGAAACGAAAGATGGATGCGGCTATGCACTCCTGTCGGCATTAGCTCCATTGATTGCCCCCATGAAAATATTGATTATAAAAATAAAAAGGAATAAAAGAATCCTTCTCTTCCCACAAGATTCAGTCAGTGTGAGTGAAGACGGCAACTTCTTGGCAGTGTCATATGCCAACAGCATCACGAAGATGTACCCAGTCAGTGCCCTCTTTCCTGACGACCCTAAGAATGCTGAACTCCGCAACATTAAGAAGAGGGACATTGAGTTCAAGATCATCGAAAAGATGGAAGTGCCTGAGAGGAAGGAGGAAGAGGGAGAGAAAGATAAGAAGAAACAGGAAAAACACAAGGAGTTAAAGGTTTTGTTTAAAAAAAAAAAAAAAAAATCTTTCTTTCTTTCTTTTTTCTTTTATTTTCTTTCTTTTCTTTTTCTCTTTAGTCTGATTATTTAAAATTTCCCATTTCCTGTGCTCTTTTCTGATTTTTCTTCTTCTTCTTTCTTGATCCATGGTATATGTATATATTTTGTAGCTGTTTTTTACCTGTAACTTAAAATTCAAAAATACTCTGTACCCTATGATACACCCAAACTCCTTTCAATCTTTTTAAACCACCACAGGAACTACTAGACAGGAACAAATGGTATCCTATCCTTGTGGAATTCAAATCATACCCTGAAAAGTACCGAAGCCTAATCTGGGTGTCCATGCTAGAGTTACCACGCAACTACCTTGTGTTCAGCACGCTGCTCGACAAGGGAATGCACTCAGCCTTCGAAGGGTTAAAGGAGGTGCTCAAGCTATCAGACGGATCGTTACTGAAGACTCTTCAGGGGTGACTAAAGAATACGCTCAGTTTTTCTCACAAGCTTAGCTTCATCATTTTAACATTTGATTTTTCTTTTTCTTTTCTTTTTTTTCTTCCTTTTTTTCTACTTCTTTCTTCTTTGTCTTCTGCCCACTTTCTATGCTTCTGTCTTTCTTTCTCTCTCAGTATCTGTATCTCAGGCCGAGTTTTAGATTGCATCTCTTGATTGACATATAAAGTAGTGATAAATAATGTCTCTAAACAACTAAGAGGAGAATATGCCAGAACCCCTTTCATTTTATTATATTTTCCTGTCCATCTCATTATCCACATATTTCTCCCCAGTAAATTAATAATAATAATAATAATAATAAAATCTTATTTTTAGAAATGAGAAAAGTAAAATGAATGACTCTAAGGAATCTTTCCCACCAGCACACTGTCCTGCTTGGCTCACTGGGCTCCTTTCCTGTCGAGCGTAGAGTATTTGCCAGAGCTCATCTTCCCCTTCGTCAAGTTCTTCCATAGCAACCGGCTGCTGTGTTTTGAGGTTTCTGTGACATTCATCTGTAAGTTTCTGTGTTTGTGGGATTGCATTTTTGTTGGGTTTGTTGTTAATGGTATGTTTGTTATCATGGTTGTTGTTTCTACCATTGTCATGCCTGTTACTATACTGGCTATCAACACTGAGCAGTGCATTGTCATTAAGGTTTTTTCATAATGATTTTCATTAAAGAAGTGTTTCTTCCTTCCACAAACCAAACCATAAAAGAGCCTGATTTCCTTTCATTGTGCAGTGAACTGGTGTCGCTTATGGTTTGAATTCTGGCCTAAACCAAGTGTCACAGTCTTGACTGTGATTGAACGCTTGATCTGCGAGAAAGACCCAGTCTTACTTGCACACTTAATGAAACTTCAAGTCACAGCTGAAGATTACGCCTGGTCATTACTTACAAATGCCTTCTCTCGGGTATGTCTTTCATTTTCTCCTTCTTCTCTCTGAATTTTTTGTATATTTCCTAATGCATACAATAATAAAAACATTGTCATACCTTATCCATTTTCTTCTAGCTTTAACAAATTTTATCCCTCCAACATCTCAACCAAAAATAGGTTCTTTCCAATGAAGACTGGTTAGTACTTTGGGACCACATCCTCTCCAACCCGCCTTCATTCCTGCCCTGTGTCGCAGCTGCATTTACAATCAAATCACGCCACACTCTAATGACCTGTGAGGATGCCCAGGATGTGAAGGTATACCATATGAAAAGGGGTTCTTTAACTGATAGTGTCATATAATCTGATGATTATGAAATATATTTATGTATAATTATGTATTTTTTGCTTATCTCTATTCTAGTTTATGGAAGGTAACAGCATGTTATCATTAACTTCTTCACTTACATCCTTTCACAGACCTATTACAGCCAAGAAGCCTGGATTTCAGTTAAGCACATCATCGACAAAGCATACTTCATATACCAGAACTGTAGTGCAGAGACCCTTCCCAAGGAACTCTTTGGAGAACTCAAGCCAATGCCCAAAGGAGGCCTTCCCATCTTCAACATTGGGCCAAGGGATGCGCGGGAAGAAGAGGTAAGGAAATTAATCAATTGATGCCACCATGGCATGACATGTCATGTTCACTATTACCGTCATCATTATTTTATTATTATTATTATTATTATTATAGCAAATTATCTGTACTTTTTCATCATGATTATTATATGATAGTTATAATGATTATTATTACTATTTTGGTATTTGCTTTTTCAGGCTTGGGTTAGATTACATTCAATAAATTGAGGTAGCCTCGGTATAAACATATAAGATTATATATGGTTAGACTACGTCTAAGTTTGAGTATATATAGCTTTTCATTGGTTTAAATCAAGATTGATTACAATTAATTATAAGTTAGGCTAGACTTGGTTTAGCTTATGTTTGATTAGGAGTTGGTCATATTAGAAAAGATTAAATTAAATCAAATGAAGTTAGGGTAGTTTAAATTTGGTTAGATCAGATTAGGGTGGGTTGAAACTGGGTTAAGATTACATTCAGTTATGTTTGAACAAGTGTGATTTGGATAGACTAGAGACAAGTTTTGAATGGACGAGACTGGGTTAGACTAGGCCAGAAATTGATTTAGAAGAGGGGAGATTAGCTTAGAAGATGAGTTTAGATTTAAGTATTGAGATTAGGTTAAAATAGGTGAGATTGTGTTAGAATAAGTTTGATTGGGGTTTGAATAGGTTTGATATGGATAGAACAAGTTTGATTAGGGTAGAATAGATGAGGGTAACTTAGAATGTGTTAAAATCAAATTGGAATAGATGATATTAGGTTAGAATTGATGAATTTAGATGGATTAAGGCTAGATCAGTGTTAGGTGAAGCCGTGTCATGTTAGAATTAAGGATATCCTGGCTAGGTTATGTTATGAGAGGTAGACCAGGCTAGGTTATATTTGAGGTAGGCCTAGCCAGGTTATATTTGAGGTAGGCCTAGCCAGGTTTGAGTGGAGGTAGGCCAGGGCAATCTCAAACATGGGTGAATATGTATGCATTTTGGAACTGTTTGGCAAAAAGTGTTTATTCTTATTACCTAAGGATTAATCAAAATATTATTGAAGTTACCTCTGTCAAATTAACTGCCAATAAACATTTGTGATTATGTAGACTCTTCAGTAAACAAAGTATAAAGATTTTTCTTCATAGAATCATCCCCCTTTATCTTGTTCTCTCACACTATGAGCCATCTCAAACACTTTGTCATTCTGATCATCCAGAGAGGTAAGGTAGAGAGGAAACTGCGCAATTTAAGCCTGAGGACAGAGGCCCTGAAGCGTAATCAGAGTAAAGGTACTGAGGATACGTCACGTCTGGCTGAGAAGGAGGAAATGGGTGAGGCTACTTGTGCTCTTTAGTTCTTTGCATTATGTTCTGGATATGACTTGATTATTTGAGATAATATTGTCTTTCTCTCTATCCTTCTTCCTTTTCCTTCACCACTGCTTGCTCTCTCTCCTTCCTTCCTTCCTTCCTCTGTCCCTCTCTTTTTTTATTACTATTCCTCTTCTTCCTCATTTTTTTCTACTCTTTCTTTCTCTTATTCTGCTCTTCCTCTCCCTTGCCCCTCCGCCTAAATTCACTTCATCCCATTCCAGTATATACAATTGGAAGGAAAGACCTCGAAAAGCAAGAGGAGGAGTGTCTCAACAGCATTCTCAACTTGCGGAAAAGGCATCTTGCAACGGCAGAACTCGATGCATCATAGGCCTGTGTTGCATTAGATCAGTGAGATTTGACCTGTGATTTACAATTTGGAGAATTTTATGGTCTTGTGTGTATGTGTGATTTACACAGGATTAGTTTTGAAATAATGGGTAATAACTTGTATGTATATAAGCTCTATGTACATATGTATAATATTTTACATCAAGGATATGGTTTAATGTGCAATTCAACAATATGCTGTGCAAGTTTCTACATGAGTCATAAAGAAAAATGAGTCATGTATTTTGATGTTAATGTTTTGCCATTGCAATAGATTTCAGTTTTTGTATTTAGCTTCAGAATAGATTCCAGAAGTACTCAAATGTTAATCCATTTATATTGCAATATTTTTTTCAGTTCCTGTGGAATATTTTGTTTTAAATAAAAAGCTGCATAAAGCCTTTCTGTCTTTTTTTCAGGTCTATTCTTCCTTGGGAATAGATTCACTCTAAGATTCATAAAAGTGGGATGAGAAATTCTTTCAGAAATTCAAAATGGAAATAATTGACAAGATTATGATTTTAAAAATTTACACATTTTAATAAACCCTATTATTGGTGCATTTTTTTTAGTTTTGTCTTTTTAGTGGGTTACATGCCTTAAAATTATCACTCATGGCATACATATTTTTGTGGTGTACTGTGGCCACTGTACTTCTTTCTCTGCAAAAACAAAACCATGGGTATTTAGAACATGCCCAAGCAATGGATAGAAGGATTCTGCACATTACTAGAGAGGAAGAATAAAACGCATGATTTTGTGTAATAACCCTTTCTATTTTTAAGAGCAAATACAGAGACTTAATATGAAACAGAGAAATGATATAAACTGCCAGTTCTTCTATAGATCATGCCCATTTTGTATGTAGATCAAGTTCATCGCCAGTGATTATATATATACATATATATTTATATATTTATATATGTATGTATGTATGTATGTATGTATGTGTATATAATATATATATATATATATATATATATATATATATATATATATATATATATATATATATATATATATATATATATATATATATATATATATATATATATATATATATATATATATATATATATATATATATATATGAGAATAACCCATAAACCCTTTGTGTGTTATCTGG